AGATGGGAACCAGACTTAATAGACATGTTACAAGTATGCTGACAAAACATTACAAAGACAAAATATCTCAGACTGACATGCATCCATCTTTAAATATGGAAACTTGATAAATTTGACATGTTTAACTGAAAACTGAACAAACTGCATCGTTTGTTTCTCAAACACAAACTTTAACACCATGAACACTGCATAGAGAACTCTCAACCCCAAGGTGTCCAAATCAATCATTGATATGGTTACTGTAATAAGAAGCAATGCCAATGTTCACCACCAGATCAACGATATGGCACATTTTGGCAAACACTTGCACATGAAAGCCACATGTAGCATAATCACATATCACAAGCAAAAATGGATAACCAAATATAATACAACAGTGATTGTTCATACATGTCATAGCCAATATATCAACACACTTTTTCAGGATCCAGTTTGCAACTTCAACAATGACTACCGTATTCGACGTACTAAGCGCCCAGGGCGCTCTCAAAATTAGAAATAGGGGGCTCTTATGAGAATATTATTTTGGTGGAAAAAAAAACAGAGTTGAAAGATAAATTTCATGGTTATGCTGACAGCCTGAAATGTTTATGTACGACAGATATATTTTTCCTGAATTTTATTGCCCATATTTAAGGGTGCATTTAGCACACGAGTGCGAATTTAACGCGAATAAATTAGTCTTGTGTACATTGATCAATCGGAAGGGGTGCTAATTTGGATTGTTCACCAGCCAATATATCAGCAAATGTCACCGCGGGCGCTTATTAGAAGGGGGCGCTTATTACGTCGAATATGGTAAGCTGTAACTGTCCACGATGATCAGCTCCACATGGAATTAGTTCCGACCGGAACTAATATAGCCAGTGTAAATGTAACGTGGACAAATGTTCTTAGAAAATACTGTTCCATGGGAATAATTCCTGTAGAGAAATATAGCATGCTATATAGTACAAAGGAACAATTTCACTACAGGAACGGATACTCTTAGACATATATACAGATATGATTTTCATGCTATACCAAAGAAAGTCAGTCTTTAACATTGTTGAGTCACTCAGTGGAGGTCTATAGGACAATGTTTGTTTCTTTGTTAGGTAATATTAACACGATTGACTGTATTTCAGTCAATTGTTTGTTGTTTAATGCTGCCTTAAGCAGTATCTCATCTATATGAAGGTGGTCTGTAAATATTCAAGTCTAAACCAAACAATCCAGTGATTGACATCATGAGCATTGATCCACACAATTGGGATTGATGACATGCATCAACCAAGTGAGCAAGTCTGACCACCTGACCCCGTTGGTCACCTCTTACAACAAGCATAGTCGCCTTTTACGGCAAGCATGGGTTCCTGAAGACCTATTCCACCCCGGATCTTCACGGGTCTTTTTAACATGATTAAGATACTCTAGTTATGATAGCGGTATGAAGATCATGAATACCCTATTGACATGATATACATATTTATTTTTACAATAGCCTTAACTGCATCTGGAATGTTTTGTGACACCATGTTAAGATTATCACATATCAAAGCTACTGTTGCACATTTTTTTTTATATGTAGGAAGCGGCATGATGAAATGGTAACTCAGTGTCAGTCAGTGTGTTTTAAACTATAGATGCTTGTGTTGTAGTAGGGCAGTTCATTCAGTAATTTAGGCATCAAGGCCCATAGTACAATGCAGATTGGATATTAACATTTGTCACCTGATGTACATGATTAGATTTTAAATCAAGTTACACATTTCTCATTATAAAGACATGTTTTAAAAATACACAAACAGCATGGATCATATCAGGATTTTCCGAGATTAGCAGATTTATCATTAACTAACGGTCTTTAAAGATACCTTGCAACCTGGGGAGATACCTTAAATGGGAATACGTTTCATATATAAGTAAGACATGGTATTCATCCTCTACTTCTCCGGATGAACAGTTTGTACAAATAGAGTTCACAATATCACTGTCTTTGGACTTGTGACATACATTTACATTAAAATTGTGCAATGAAATTCTAAGTCTACAATAAGCTCTCAATAAATTGATAAGATAAAGTGATTCAGAAATACTTTGGTGCCACTGTTGACAAAATATATCCTTTATTCTTTGCTTAATGAATATAGAAATAACTGTGGATCTCCCACATCTTGGGAAATCCATACATATGAAAAGCCACTAACAAATAATAGATTTCTCATATCTGAAACCCAAATATTTTTGCCATTATCATCAAGTACCTTTAACATTTTGTAACACTGATATAGGTATCTATCAGGCATCATTCTAAGTAATTTAATCCAATACTTAATTACCCTTAACTGTCTGGCTACAAAAATATTACTACAGCCTGTTTCACCAAGGATTGCCTTGTTTGAGGCAAACTTACCAACACCTAGAAAACATTTGAAATATGTGAACTTTTTCAATTGCAGCATAATACTTAGCACCCCATATTTCAGAACCATACAAAAGTATAGGCATAATTTTGCCTTCAAAAATGGTACATGCTGTGAAAAAAGACACACAACTATTTTGTGTTGTAGTAGCTGACAAGGGAGGTTGGGGAAGCATGTTTATCGAAGAGAAAAGACTGACTGGCGTATGTCTTCACTAGTCCGTGTTATGTAAGCGGCTTGATGAGATGTGGGAGGTCAGTGAACCTGTCTAATTAGACTGTTGACACTGAGTTACCATGTGTAATTAGGGAAACGCAGGATGTGAGGGAGTATTTGTTTAATCATGCACTGGTTTGAAATTGTGTGGAAGTGAATTCTAGAAAATGCCTCCTTACGTCCTTTGTTTGGTCAGCAAAAATAACTGTCATGAAATTGTGTGTCACTCCCAGTTTTGGCATTACTTTCCTGCTCGCAAAACTTTACAGATCTACAGCATATAAGTAGGCCTATAGTGTTTCATCACTTGGTGCATCAAGATGGTGTACAACTGTACCAATGTATCATGAGACTTCATACTGATACAACAGTGAGATATTTCAATACAGGATACTGTAAACATAGTAAGAATTGCTTATCCATGTTATCTGCAACACGAAAAATAAATATGCATATCATGTCAATAGGGTATTCATGATGCTCATACCGCTATCATAACTAGAGTAACTTAATCATGGGGTAGAATAGGTCTTCAGCAACCCATGCTTGCCGTAAAAGGCGACTATACTTGTCGTCAAAGGCGACTAACACGACTTATGGTCAGCATGGTCAGGCTCGGTGACTTGGTTGAAGCAGGTCATCGAGTCCCAAGTGCCTGGATCGATGCTCATGATGTCAATCACTGGATTGTCTGGTCCAGACTCGATTATTTACAGACCGCAGTCATATATCTGGAATATTGCTGAGTGCGGCATTAAACAAAAAAAAACCATAATCATGTTAATATCCTGACTATGTCAATTGTGAATATCCATTTATAAAGTACATGTTTACCATATTGTATTTAATAATTGCAATATTCATTGACTTTAATATTTTAAGAACACATTTTACTTTTATCATTATAAAAAAACATTCAGACATCCGTGTTATCTTTCTCCATCGTACAACAACACACATGAACTAAACATGTTAAAACTAGCTATAACGTGTAAAATTTCAAATAATTTTTGGTATCTTGTAGTAAGGCACATGGACTTTCATGGTCATTTGGAGCCTTGAGCAATATCATTAAAACCAGAATACATTGATAATACTATTGTACATAACTTCTACTTTTTATTTGTAATAAATGTCAATTAAAAGAAAATATATCTCAAATCTGCAGTTATTAACATGAATACTCAATGTATTAAAAAACATGTGACCTGAGGAATATAAGGGTATGTGACATTGTGACAGGGTCTTGTCAACCACTTCAGGCATTTCCCTAACAATGTTTCATGTACAAATAACTCCACTTGACTAGCAATGACTCGACAGCATCCTTTACATAAATCCACTCTGATATCAGTCGTGGCTCAAGCCTTCAAAACACATCCTACTACAGTGGAATCTGTAAAAAACAGACTTTCACTAATTTGGATTTTTGTCAATACAGGACCACATTTAGTCCTGAATGTACTACAGAAGTCTGGTTTAGATAGATTCCACTGTATATACTAAAAACCAAGTTTTTTTAACCTACATAAAGGTTGTTCCATATTGTGTAAACATACCTCTCAAAATCTCTAGCCATCCACTTAACCAACATTTATGTGATTAAACTAGTTTCTCATCTAACTATTTCAAAGGTGATTCTACTGTAAATAGAGAAAGCTGAAATGATCACAGCCAATGAGTTGGGTTAAAAACTGCTTTGAACATTATGTCAGTTATATTACAGTGCCTCAAGAAAATGTGGGAAGGAAGCTCAACATCAGTCAGGTTATAGACATTTACCACTTAGGTAACATCGGTCAAGGATGAAGCACAAAATCTTGCATCCTACATGTCCTTCCAGGGTAATGCATAAAAAAAAATTAAACCAATGCAAAATGAATACAGAGTGTATCCACTGTGATGCAGGAATTTGTGTGCATGTTTAGGTATGAATGCTGCTATTTCATAATTTGGTACCACTCAAAATTTATTTCCAAAAGTAACCATTTAGAAAATACCATACCCTGTCAAATACTTCATGATCTTCCAGCACTAGCACTTGTAGTTTCGTTTCAATTTGGGAATGTCATATTTCTTATTAACCAACAGACCCTGAGCATGCAAATCTTAAGTCACTTCCCGTAGAGTACAATATTCAATGTTTGACATTTCTGTGACCCCTGTCTTTTAACCTAGGTCCCCTTCAGTTAAAGGCTCTGAGTCCTCTGGATCCCCAATGTAAATAACTCAGGTAAACATGACAGTGAGTGAGTATGGTTTTACGCCGCTTTTAGCAATATTCCAGCAATATCACGGCGGGGGACACCAGAAATGGGCTTCACACATTGTACCCATGTCGGGAATCGAACCCGGGCCTTCGGCGTGACGAGCGAACGCTTTAACCACTAGGCTACCAGACCGCCCCCGTAAACATGACAGATTAACTATAGTCATATGAAACATATGGTCGTTCTCTAACTTCTTTTGAGTGGTATATAATCATGATAATCAAGAGTAATTTTAAAATGATTTCATAAATAGTTGATATCTGTTATATTGGCCACACACCGAGTTCTCCTGTCCGTCAGTCAACCCTGGTCTGTTTCATGGCCTTCTGCTTCTTGACGTAAAAATTCCAAGGACCATGAAATCTTAATCATGTTAATGGTGCCGCCTTATGATGCTAATCATGCTTATGAAATAATCAAAACTTTATCATACTTATAGAAAACACAACATTTGGATGGAAGACCATGGATAGTATATTGACTGGGATGCTTTCCAGTTGGTTACCATGGTTACAGCCTCTGGTTATTCTAAAGAGGGAAAAGGTTTGAGCACACTGGCAATACTATCAAATTTGTTTTATGTTGTTCAACAATTATTGTTTCAGTCCATGTCGCTATATAAGTGCAATAATCCCAAAAGCAACCTGATCTCGCCTCACTTTTTCAGTCTGCTTTGTCAAATTGTATGATTTATATCACTATAACTATCAATTTCTACCCTCTAACCATCAATTTTTACCCTCTCAACACAGCATGAGAAACAATGACTCACTTCAATTATTAAAATGTCAAGATATAGCTTCGAAATGGGCAAATGACAATCCCTCTTTAAGCTCTATCAAGAGTAGGAAATTTGAGTAAGGCTGAAGTTTTACATTGAAAACAATGACCACATTGTTCTCATATGCAACATTATACATCATGTGCACATAATACTCAGCCATATGCAACATTGTACATCATGTGCACATAATACACAGCCATATGCAACACTGTACATCATGTGCACATAATACAAAACCATATGCAACATTGTACATCATGTGCACATAATACACTGCCATATGCAACATTGTACATCATGTGCACATAACACACAGCCATATGCAACATTGTACATCATGTGCACATAACACACAGCCATATGCAACACTGTACATCATGTGCACATAATACACAGCCATATGCAACACTGTACATCATGTGCACATAACACACAGCCATATGCAACATTGTACATCATGTGCACATAACACACAGCCATATGCAACATTGTACATCATGTGCACATAATACGCAGCCATATGCAACATTGTACATCATGTGCACATAACACACAGCCATATGCAACACTGTACATCATGTGCACATAATACACAGCCATATGCAACATTGTACATCATGTGCACATAATACACAGCCATATGCAACATTGTACATCATGTGCACATAATACACAGCCATATGCAACATTGTACATCATGTGCAGATAATACACAGCCATATGCAATATACATATAAAATCATATAAAATAACATAAAGTCATTAACAGTAACCAAAAATGTAGGACAAAATAAAACCATGATATGGATAAATTAATAAACATGATAAAGGTGACAAGCAAATGATTAAACCATGAGAAACATGCAGTGTCTCCCGACATTAAGATGTCCAGTATAAAACCATAACTAATACTATGTGACATTTGTGGCACCGGTGTGTGCATATAAACTAAGTATCGGTACCACTGAAACTGGATAATTCTGTGGCCACTTCAATACAAACAATGTTATACAGAATAACTTAGACTAGCCTGACAAGATCAAGGCCATGACTTAAAATAAAATAAATATGGCTAAAGTTAACAATTTTACATTGTACCAGTGGCTACAAACCAATTGAATACATATCTATTAAAAATAATAACTTATGTCCTGACCAGTTTAAACCCATGGCCTGTGTCAATTTCTTTAGGAGGAAGCCACTTCATCTGTTTCCGACGCAAGCAGCGTAAAATACTCGTACACATACAACAAATAGCACCGAGGCTTGGAAGATTGACAGCTTTGATCAAAGGCTTGGTGATTTTGGGGAAATTGGTGTCCCAGTATTGAGCAAAGTCTTCAGAAGTTGGTAGATGGAAAGTGAAGTCGGACCAGTACTTGGACAGGACATATATGGCTTCTGTTGGCCTGGTCTTGTCGGTCCAGCTGGGCTTAATGTCCTTGCCTACATTGTAGTTGACCCAGTCCTCCGTAAAACTCCCCACCCCACCCGACCCCCCAGACTCGGGGTCAGCAGGTCGGGAGTACTTGCAGGTCTGGATAGCCACAAATTCGCCGACGCAGTTTCGGATGTTGCGTGTCCAGGAGGTGTAGTGACCAGCGTCCAGGACGATGATGAGGCGGGAACCACTGCCATCATTCTTTGCTGACCACCACTCCAGCAAGGTCTCAGGTTTCAGGTTCTTGGTGTCTGGAACAGTCATATATCAGTGTGCACTTGTGCATCTACAACTAAACATTGTACAATCAGGACTCAATGTAGTGAGTGAGTGAGTGAGTGAGTGAGTCAGGTGAGTGAGTGAGTGAGTTGGGCTTAACACAGCTTTGAACAGTATTCCAGTCATATTACAGCATGTCAGCATAAGGTGGGAGGAAAGCTGTAAGTGATGCAGGTCTCAGACGTTTACCACTTTGGTGAAACTCACAGGCACAGGTATGGTGCCAACCATGTTTACAAACCTAGAAACATAATCTGGGTTTCTGGCATGCCCCAGGGAGACAACTCTGTACAGAAAATTGCAGAACCTTCAATGTGACAACTGAGCCACTCCAGAATTATTTGAGAGAGACCCCAAGAGAAACATATTATGCAAAATGCAAACACACAGCTATGAGTGTCCAGGACTCTCAGAACAACCCCTAGTGACTAACACCACCCTCTCTTCTATAGAAAATGACCAGACTCAGTCAAAATATGCAACAATGATACAAGGTGTAGCTTAACACACAAAACCTCTCAAAATGTGTCATCTGGCTGAGTGTGTGTCATCCAGACTCACAGCAGTACAACACTGTTTTATCAGATCCAGAATGAGTGAGTGAAGTTGCCAGCAATATTTTCAGCTTCATCACCGTGCATGTAGTTCAGTGTATGCAATCTAGCAAGTCCAGAAATGGGCTTCACAGGTCGTAGGCATAACAAGCAAATTCTTTAACCACAAGGCTACCCACCTCCCTCTAGCATGTTTGTTTGAGTGAGTGAGTTAGGTTCAACGCCGCTTTTAACAGTATTCCAGTCATATCACAGCGTGTCAGCTTAATGTGGGAGGAAAGCCCGAAGTGATGCAGGTCTCAAACGTTTCCCACTTTGGTGAAACCCACGAGCACGGGTATGGTGCTGACGAACCTAGAAATATAATCGGGGCGAACCAGGATTCGAACCCACAATCATAGGTTTCTGGCATGCCCAAGGGATGCAACTCTGCACAGCGATTTGCAGCGCCAAAGACGACTGGGCCACCCGTGCCCCCGTTTTGTTTGAAGAAAGATGTGTGTCATGTTAGTAAACATGCTAAATGTAGCATTCTAAAATTAAATCTGTCATGATGTCAGACAAAGGTAAAATGTTTTCTGTATAAAAAACCCACTATCATACAAATGACTAAACACCTGTGATGATCTGGGATAGAACTCGTACCCAGCTACCCATGTATGTCATGCCCGCCGTCAGTGAGTGAGTGAGTGTGGTTTTACGCTGCTTTTAGCAATATTCCAGCAATATCACGGCGGGGGACACCACAAATAGGCTTCACACATTAGACCCATGTCGGGAATTGAACCCGGGTCTTCCCCGTGACGAGCCAACGTTTTAACCACTAGGCTACCCGACCGCCCCTCGCAGTCATGCTCACTGACTTGGTTGATGCATGTCGTTCCAACCCAATTATCATGATTATGTAAACCAATGTGTGTGATACAGATGGTTGGTTGGTTTGTTGTTTTACGCTGCACTCAGCAATATTCCAGCTATATGACGGCGGTCTGTAAATAATCAAGTCTGGACCAGACAATCCAGTAATTAATATCATGAGCATCGATCCACGCAATATGGCGTTGAACAACACACAAACAATTGACTAACATACACTCAATCATGTTAATAGTACCACCACAATTGAAGCTTTACCTGCCAGTGCGATCTCTCCATTCTCATACACCTCACCACTGTAGTACAGCATGTAGGTATCAAACCGTGGCCCGTCCGCTGTCCGCCGCTCAAAGAAGGCGTTCACCTTGCTCTTGAGGTAGTCTTCGCTCAGTCCACTGGTGGAGTAGTCGCAGCCGTAGTTGTCTATCATGTGGAAGCCAAACAGCTTGTGGATGTGGTTGAGTGTGTTGGTGGCACGACTTGTCATGTCTTGAAGGGAAGCCGAAGAGAGCAGCTTGGCCGGGCCATTAGGTCTGTTAGTGATGACAAGCATAATAAATGACATGATTCAACTAGTAGGGAACACTTTCAGTACCGGTAAACATTATTTTGGAATGTTCAGATAATAATTTCAAACTCCATGGCTTGGCCAACAGACATGAAAGATAAATGAAATATTTCAATTCAAATAAGGATATAATACAGACTATCGTGATACACCGAACATTCGGTGAATTGTTACACCGTCATCACCATTTATCTAAGATGCCAAATGTGGTCTAATGTCAAAAGTGAGCAATAACAATATTTAAGACTAATATTTAAAGTTAATCATTGCTGATGAACAAAACAAATACACATGATATATGCATATGTTTGCATGTGTTTGCACATCTTCCCGAGGCAAGAGAGTTAACTGACTACAAAAGTCCAGTTTCCACCCTTGCCAAACCAGGATGGAATTTCTGGGCTCAATCGTATAGGCTATTACGAGTTATGTCCCTTCTATGCCTCGCCTATGGACCAATCAGATTCCACCTCTTGTGTCACTTGCATTTGCTTCAAAGAAAATGGCAGTGCCCAGTCAAGACGATCTGGTCGATAATCAAGATCTATATTGTGATAAAACGGGTGTTACATTGTGAAGTGCATCAAATCACGTGAGCACCTTCATTGAAAACATGAAAAGATAAGGAAAATATCTGTTGTTGGTCCTGCAGTTGACCGAAATCTGCATCGATTCGTTGTGAGATTTTGACTGGACTATGCATAGACTTGTTAGTCCAGCCAAAATGTAACTCTATAATCATGATAATACCAGGCTAGTTCGGCAAGGGTGGAAACGAGACTATTAAAAATCAGTAAACTCACTTGTAGGGCTGCAACGATACAGGAAGGTCACGATACGATACGCATCTCGATATTCTGGTCACGATACGATATGTATCTCGATACGCAATGATAAAAAAACAAGACTTAAAGCATGTCAAGATTGAACCTTTCATGATTTTGGAACAGTCATAATTATTTTATAATAACAAGACTACTGAAGTTGTTCAGCTTCAAAGTGGAACTTTCTCTACCTTTCCTTAAAAACAATTCAAAGTTCAAACACCAGAAAATAATTAATGTGCTCCACCAGTGATACAACGTCAAAGAAATTTGATGGAATGGTCGAAGAAATTGTATCTGAAATTATTGTTTTATCAGGAATGATATATTCCAATATCGTGTTACCTTAGTTGCAGCTTTTACTATATATATATTTAAAATTATAAGAACCACAAGTGTAGCATTTTGGTACTGGTGATTACTGTTGCAGGATATTTATACGTATGGAACAATTTGACCAGTCACCCTAGGGACTTCCCGTGCTACATGTATTTCGATTGAGAAAACGTTATGTTGACATATATAAGCTAAATTGCCACAAATACCGGTATGACTTTTAACGAGTCAAAGTATGGCATTTTTAATATATGTATCCATTCTCTAGCAACTAAAGTTTGTTTCAATGCGTCAAAAGCGGTAATCTGAACGTGGTTGCTGTATCTCTTCAAACACGATTTCACATAACTTAATGAAAACAATATTAAATGAAATTTTGAAAAAAAACTATTAAAATATATTACAAACACAAGTCCAGATATACAATGAACACGTTTTAATAACAAGATAGTATGATGATGGTATTGAATTGCGTACTTCAGTTTGGATTTGCTGACAGGTATTTCCATTGTTATGTGCTTGCGGGGATCAGCTGATGATATTTTTTGAGAGGGGGAAAAACATCTGTCGGTGTAAAACCTGAGCTTATTAAAAATGTAAGTATGTTTTGGGGAGCCATGTGTTACCGCGCGCTATAACCAAGTTAGCGGTTTATTGAAAGGCACAATAGTGAGGAAACGCTGTACTTGAGATTTCGTTCCGTATCGTGGCATATCGATAAATTGGCCTACGTTTATCGTATATCGTATCGTTGGTCAAGTATCGCAATGCATCGGAATATCGGTGTATCGTTTCACCCTTACTCACTTGCCTCGGGAAGATGGTGTTTGCATAATGTTAGATAACTAAATTAGTGCCAAGCACAACTACATCCACAAGAGGCTGCAGGCTGTCGCATACACGTTACACCTCCCACTGGAAAACATTGCAAACATTTTAGTCAAACAGGATTAGCTACAAACTCTGAGAACCAGTGAAAAAAGGTTTCCCCTAGTCCTCTGGTAATGGTGGACTTGTCATAAAAACGAATTTCTAAGGTTGGACTTGCTTAGCAAAATAAATTCCTCCCTACCTGATGTTTGTGACCGGAGCTATGAGGCCAAATCCTGTGCATGTCCCACCAAGGAAGTCCCCGAGCTCATAGAAGAGACTCAAGGACATAGCTTCAATTGGCAATAAGATCCAAGCCAAGCTCAGACTGTACCCAGTCCGTGTCTCCCATCCAATACCCGTCAGAATAATGGTTGTGGTTAAAGAAAGGCATATGAGACGGTGCGAGATCAGACCAAAATGGCGGATACCCTTTGATGCCATTATTCTGTTGTAACTTTGTTGTTCATCGGCTAGGCTTATATATGTCAGGTTACACTCAGTTATCTTGCCCATCAATTTCCAGCAAGATATGAAATAAATAAGATGAAATAAAATCCATATAAAGGCAAATACGGCAAAAACTGGCACCACCACAAACCATTCCTTGTGGTTAAAGCTCTGTATTCCGATCAAGGAAGCTAGAACCAGGTCCAGACCAAACACAAACAGAATAACTAGATAACGTAGTAGCTTAGACAGATTAAAAAATGGCTTCCATCGCTCAATTGTTGTCAAGGCTGAAAAATAGAAGTCGATGATTGGCTGGAATGCGTGACGTCCAATGAAACATATCAGAGCATATTTGTTCGGGGACATTTGGAATCCGGGAAAGAATACAAAGATTCCAACACAGAGTAGACTCAGGAAGCTGATGAGTCCAAGAAAAGACTTCATTCGTAATGCTATAAGGTGCACGGTAAAGGCAACGATTAACATGGACATTGGAAGTCCCTTAGAGGTGTCCATCAAAAAGGTGGCAATGATAAGTCCAAGAGATTCAAGACCTTCAGACTGGGTCAGTATGCACGCGTCCAACTTCACTAAATGCATGATCCTTCCGAAAATATTCCAGAACCACACGGACACCATACTGGTGAGGAACAGCATCTCCATAACTTCATGTAGGACATCATCATAATCATTTTTCTCGGAGAAGGCGATAATCCCAACAAGGCACCCGGTCCAGATGTGGAACAGAGCATTGCCAATACTCTGCATGCTGAAGTAGTACCTCAGGGCACATGATATTCCGAATACAAAGAGTCCAAACAGTGAGATGACGGCGATGACAGTGTTATTGGTGAGGTGCCACTGTATGTACAGACCCAGGCCAAGGGCCACCAGGAGAATGATGTCAGGGATGTAGCCCACATACTGGATTGTGAACTGAAGCTTGAAGTCCTTGATGCTCTGCATGACCTGGTGGGAGAGATGGACTAGATAGTACCTCACTGCTCGCACTCCCCTAAACATCAGTACTCAACAAGCCATGGTTTACTTGGAATGTCCACAGAAGCCTATGATCTTCAGTGGGATCTTGCTACTTTTCCAGTCCTAAGTTCCGTACCTGAAAAAACAATGAATGCATGTTATTATTGTCAAAACTTGTTTTCATATAGTCATCCCCCACGATAACGCGGGTCGTGGTGTTTGTGAGGAAAATAGAAACTGTGATGGTATTTTTGAGTGTTTTCTTCGAGTAAGATCGAGCTTTAGTACAAGTTCAGGTAGCCCGTTATTGTTAACGACTTTGACTGCTGCCACTGCTGGGACCATTAGAATGCAAATATGGTAAGATATACATGTATAGAATAATGTTTACTTAGATCAACGCTAATTTACAAACAACTCGCTGACTGGACATTCATGGCCATTTTCTGAATGAAGCCACTACGCACGACCCTCTCGACACAAAATGCCAGTTAAACACTATTTCAGACTGCAAATTATTATACTTGTATTAAATAACACTTGGGTTGGATATAAAAAAACAAATCTTACAATATAATGTTATAGAGGTGCCAAGTTCGTGATAATTTCATAGATCATCTACCATATTCGCCGTAAGACTTTTGAGTCTGCTAGCCCGAACATGTCTCAAAGTAATGTTCACAAATTACGTCATAGGGTATTGTTACATGTTTGTAAATTTTGTCATGCTTGTGGTGCTAAATTCTAAACACGCTAAAGCCAGTAAAGGTTGGGCATAGATTTTTTTGCATTTTAATGTTTAATGTTTGAACATCAATATGTCTTATTTCACATATGTCATATGTTGATATAATATTATGTTAAATTCGAAATCTATATTGGTAGTGAGCTCTTCGGGCAAAATATCTGAGGACCTGTTGGCCAGTGGACTCTTTGCGTGTAACTCATTATTACCAAAACATAACCATGATAATTTTTGAGAAAATACTTCAGCATTGGACTTATTGGGTGTTTTCACACCCCATTCACGATGTCATTGTCAATAGAAAACCGATGGATCATGTTTATTGCAATAAACAAAAATACGATCAACTGAAAAAAGTATGAATGTGAATCTGCAAAGAAGACTGAATTGATGTTGTGAATGATAGGCTAGTGAAGCTGAAAGGCGTGTCCCGCGGCTTATTTATTGATATCGTGTCGATGTAACGTGTGGAGAGATACGTTCTCCACGATGCACTTGCTTTACGTATAAGTTCCCGAGGCCAGTACGCTGCCAAATCCTCCCCTCAAAATGATAATCATTACCTGTTTCCTGCTCCGCGTTTCTAATATGACTTCCGTACCTACAACAAACAAACATGTCAATGGCTGCCGGGGGAATCCTCACGGTCGTCGCTATTTTACATACTTTTCGAGACCGTGTGTATGCGTTAGTTTTATCGACTATCGCACTTTTCAAGGGAGACAACTCATCGCAACTGTCCAATTCGCGTCTAATGTTACAACCCAATTAAAGTCAGAAAGTTCGCGTGTATTACGACTGCTTATGACACTTTGATACAAGGACATGTCATCAGTTTTCCGATATTAATCAGCGCATATATCGTCAGTTGAGTGATCATGTCGTTTATATGTTTATGTTAGGCGTGGCGGGCGTCATATATTGTATTCAGACGGTAGTCATGCGATAAGTTTGTCTGACATTTGTAGACAGAACCCAGCTACCCTAATGTTATCGACATTACCGCCCATGTTCTTTGAACACTTGTATTCCCATATCTGCATATTTTGTTTTCCCACATTGCGAGGCATATGTAATTTTGTTTCATTAAAATAGGCTTCATTGTTTTTTTACAAATCAAATGGTTGCTCGTTCAGCAAAGAATGGTTGATTTTACCTTGATATGCTTCACAGTTCTGATTTTTCCCCATTTACGTCAAGTTTACAAAGTTGTGGTTGAGAAAGTTTTAATCAGACATCACATAGATCTAGCATCTTGTACTGACAGTTAATATAATATGAGCAATTATAATGTATCTTCATACACAGTAAACATCGCCATGGCCTAATGTAATGTTAAAACCCCATAATGTTAGACAATAAGTAGGTTTATAAGTACAAAATATTTAGATCTAGCTTCTATTTGATTGTAACAAATGTTATATTTGGGATAACACTTTCTTAGTAAAGTACAGATTCTTGTACTTTTTGGGGTTGAGTTCTTGATTGATATTTTGAATATTACTTCAGATTTATATCTTAATGTTCCACATAAAAATTATATGGAGACTTTTATCCTAGGTTAGGTATTATTAAACAGTGGTTATAGGCCTATCTATTTTGTTTCATTTTGAAAGTTTCTTCAAGTTACTTATTATCATGATTATGGGACACTTCAAAGAAAGACTGCATTAAGACATGTGTGTAAACAGAAAATAGGTTACTAGTTTACAATATCCAGCTTAGGCAAACTCACTATATACTGAGTTGAGCTTATAACACAGACAACATCAACTTTGCTTTATTTCTTTACATATAGTATCAAGCACCACCTTTGCAGGCCTTGGATGTCTTGTGTATAGTATAGTACTGCCATGACGTTTGTTTCTGGAATATAAATGGTACAATACATACAGACTTAGCTTTAACTTATTTAATCTAATTACCAATTGTGTGTTTTATAAATGGATTACAGCAGTACAGTGAAGCTTTGTTATTGGGTGTACCATTCCCATGGAAACTATCCAGGTGTCCAGTTATTGTAATTATGGTCTTTTCTATGTGTGTAGGTTGGTAGTGCGATGGGTGGTTGGCATTTGGCATAAGGGGAGTAAAACGGGCACTTGTTGTCTTGGAGTCCATATGATGTGTCTGAATGGGGTATCCATCATGTTACACTGCAGCATGGTAACTCGGTGGGCACGCACTGTACTCTTTGCACTATGTAATGTCTGAACTGGTACAAGCAGCCACATACATGTTGCTATATAAGTACAATAATCTTGAATCCGACCTTTAACCCTGTTTCACCTCACCTCCGCTGCCTCAGGTCACAAATATTATATGTCTTTATCTGTTGTAAATGAGGCAGGCTCTGTCGTTGGTCAAATTGGATGGGAATTGAAAGATTTGTAATATCTTTCAGAGAAGTACTTCCTGTAAATTCACCAACTACAAGACTGCCACCTGACTCATAATTGTTAAATAAGAGTTTTTCAAACTTCTTTGAAATTGAAGTACTGCCAAAAGTGGCAGTTAATCCATAATAAAACAACAGGCTTGTATATGACAGTTAAAAATTAACAGTCAAATATGACCAATTCTATTTATATTTCTGAGCAGATCTTATTGCATTCTTCATTCTTCACAGAGTATATGACACTTTAGATGTACATAACATTTGTATGGCAGCATATTATGTTTTCAATGTAATTTCATAATTACATAAATTGAACATTGTCATTCTGTTAACTGTTTGAATGCCTATCAAATGTGCCCCCAAAGGCAATGAATACGACCATTGCATAACTCTGCTGTTATACTTAAACTCCTTTCAATATTTTATTGAGGTCTCATCATTGTTATAATAAAGTCTATGCACTACCTAGCTTTGTGAACATCTACCATCTGCTTCACTTTGTGCCTCATCATGAAATAGGGTAATGCTCATGTTATAACCTTAAGTTGCTGTTCACATCTTTATTAATCTCAGCTATGGCAAAAAAGGTCTTTATGTCAATCACTGTCAAATAGTCAATAGAAGGGAAAGTGATAGACTGCCACACAGAGTTTTAGAATATAGCAAAAGAAGAAAAAAAGAAGAATATCATTCACACTGTCATTAATATAAGCAAGCAGCTGGATAACCATGACTTGATATTTATGCCAGGCTCAACTCAGTATGTGGCGTCTCTTATAAATGAAAAACTCAAGACAGTAGATGGATATACATGTACTTGGTTTGAACAACTCTGGAATGATACATCAAATCCTCAGCATGGAAATATGCTACTCAGCTACCATATGTTTAAAAAAAAGATCTTGTCCCCGAACTTAACTTGCAAACTTTTATGTCCATGAATCTCAGAAAATATCTCCCCAGACTATGTTTGGAAGTCTCACCCTACACGTTGAGATAGGTCTGCACAATGCACCCCCATCCCTTAGAGCTCAGAACTTGTTATTTGTGTAAGAAAGAGGAAAATGAAGTTCATTTCCTTAATTGACCCATGAAGATGTAGAACAGGTCTTCAGCAACCCATGCTTGCCGTAAAGGCGACTATGCTTGTCATAACAGGCGACTAACGGTATCGGGTTGTCAGGCTAGCTGACTTGGTTAATGCATGTCCTCGATCCCAATTGCATGGATCGATGTTCATGATGTCAATCACTGGATTGTCTGGTCCAGACATGATTATTTACAGACTGCCGTCATATAGCTGGAATATTGCAGAGTGCAGTGTTAAACAACCAACCAACAAACAAACAAAACAGAGGGTAATTTTTATAACGACCTAAGATACAGCATTAATTTATCTTGTTACTGTTCTAAAGTGCGTAACCCACATTTATTTTTTTTACTGTTTTCTGAAAATAATCCTAAGCGCATGAAATTATTTCAAATGCATTGCTTCTATAATAACAAACATGTTTTTAAGACGACAATTATTGATACTTGCATTGTTTATTGTCTTACATAAATTTATGACGATTATATCATTGTAAATAGTATTTTACCCTGCAAAATGTCATCAATATGTAGTGTCTCATCAGCCAAAATATGGTTCGATGTTAAACATGTTTAACTATATCTGTATGTCTGTCTGTCTGTCCTATTGTTTGGCCATATGAATCATAGGATTTTAAAATAAACTGCTTGGGGTTATGGAAAGATAATATTTCCATTTTCTTCTTTCTTCTTCGTAATATCTATATTCTAAATATCATGAATATACATTACGTAAACTCACAGATACAGTTCCACAATTTAAAAGAGCAAATGTCCTCACAAACTTACTTCATTTTCAACAGTTGTCTTTTAGCATACTGTAAATATTGAAATTAATGCATCTCCAAATCCCCCCCCCCCCCCCCCATCCCCAGTGAAATGAAACATATCCTTACCTTATTCCAACCTTACCAAACAGCGAAAATACTAGTAACTGCTTATTAGCACTGAGGAGAGCACTTCCATAAAAACAACAGTGTTTTCCTAAAAACAACACACAGTTTTTATGTATATTCCTGTTGACTGGCATTAAGGAAGTTCAAAGGCAATAATATAATTGAACCAACAACTGTTCACTGATTGGACTGCAGAGAAGGTGTCAACAAACTTGAGGCATGTGACAAAGGCTGAGGAGTGAGGTGAAGCCTATCGGTGCGCGTTAGGTCGTGCAGTCCCTAGACGGAGTGTCTGTCTGGGTGTCTGGGTGGCGTCTGTCTTTGACTGGCTTTTTTGCTGTTTTGCTGTGGTAATTAATAAGTTTATCATAAATATGCCATACACTTGTGTTGACACTTTGGTTATTAATATTCAATGTTTCTCTCTTATTATTATTTTCGATGATTTAGGAATATTTTGCATAATTTGATTATATTCTAATATTATTCAATTATATACAAATGTTAGTGCTAAACAGACTAACTGCTTATTCTATTATTGTTCAAGTTTATACTCTTTATTATTAAGCTTTATTCCATTAATTCGATCATTAATTCGAGAACATACCAAGAAGAAGAGATAAGGTGACACTGGATCACCTACACAACCTCTATTATTTGGCAAAAGAAACATATATTTGAGTATATTAGCCCTTATGCCGTATTTTTCCCAAAAAAACTATAGTGAATGGTTTGGAGACAGTATGAAAAGTCTTTTCAAAATCAGTGAAAAATAATAAGCCTGGCCTGTCTGTTTGATTTCATATATATATAATATAACATATTAGTCTCTCATGTTCACTTATACAGGAATGCATGCAGTTTGATTGGAATGAATTGTTATGCCAAATGTTGTTTTTTCAATTGTGTTGATTTCATATGTCCTAAGCAATTATTTAAAGTTAGGTATTGAAATTGGCAGTCAAAATTTTTGATGTCTTCAATCTTTATTTTGTTTTGGTATACAAGTTATTATAACATTGTCTTTAGTTATTTTAATGTCTTTCAATGTTTCAGTAATACACTGTTTATCTGTATACCCATATACCCACATCTGTTTATAAATATTTAAAAAAATCAACAGAAAATGGGTATTTAGGAAAGTTCATGCATTTCAATGGTTATTTTTCAAACTGTCAGCAACTGAATTACTCAGTCTTGTTGTCAGGTGGTGGGGTTGCTTGAAAACTTGGGTTTGATTCCCCACATGGGTACCATGTGTGAAACTCATTTAGTGTGTCCCCTGCTGTTATATTGCTAGAATATTGCTAAAAGTGGAGTAAAACTCACTCACTTACCCAGTATTGGTGTCTTGATTTTGGCTTATATTTTGCTAGTTTCACCGTAAGGTTCATCATTGGATGAGTATAGTTGCTCATTAATTCCCTTGTTTCCCCATCAGTGTTTCCCCATCAGTGTTTCCCCATCAGTGTTTCTCCATCAGTGTTTCCCCATCAGTGTTTCCCCATCAGTGTTTCTCCATCAGTGTTTCCCCATCAGTGTTTCCCCATCAGTGTTTCCCCATCAGTGTTTCCCCATCAGTGTTTCCCCATCAGTGTTTCCCCATCAGTGTTTCTCCATCAGTGTTTCCCCATCAGTGTTTCTCCATCAGTGTTTCCCCATCAGTGTTTCCCCATCAGTGTTTCTCCATCAGTGTTTCCCCATCAGTGTTTCTCCATCAGTGTTTCCCCATCAGTGTTTCCCCATCAGTGTTTCCCCATCAGTGTTTCTCCATCAGTGTTTCCCCATCAGTGTTTCCCCATCAGTGTTTCTCCATCAGGGTTCCCATCAGTGTTTCCCCATCAGTTTCCCCATCAGTGTTTCTCCATCAGTGTTTCCCCATCAGTGTTTCCCCATCAGTGTTTCCCCATCAGTGTTTCTCCATCAGTGTTTCCCCATCAGTGTTTCCCCATCAGTGTTTCTCCATCAGTGTTTCCCCATCAGTGTTTCCCCATCAGTGTTTCCCCATCAGTGATTCCCCATCAGTGTTTCCCCATCAGTGTTTCCCCATCAGTGTTTCCCCATCAGTGTTTCTCCATCAGTGTTTCCCCATCAGTGTTTCCCCATCAGTGTTTCTCCATCAGTGTTTCCCCATCAGTGTTTCCCCATCAGTGTTTCCCCATCAGTGTTTACCTATCAGTGATTCCCCATCAGTGTTTACCCATCAGTGTTTCCCCATCAGTGTTTCCCCATCAGTGTTTCTCCATCAGTGTTTCCCCATCAGTGTTTCCCCATCAGTGTTTCTCCATCAGTGTTTCCCCATCAGTTTCCCCATCAGTGTTTCTCCATCAGTGTTTCCCCATCAGTGTTTCCCCATCAGTGTTTCCCCATCAGTGTTTCTCCATCAGTGTTTCCCCATCAGTGTTTCCCCATCAGTGTTTCTCCATCAGTGTTTCCCCATCAGTGTTTCCCCATCAGTGTTTCCCCATCAGTGTTTCCCCATCAGTGTTTCCCCATCAGTGTTTCCCCATCAGTGTTTCCCCATCAGTGTTTCTCCATCAGTGTTTCCCCATCAGTGTTTCCCCATCAGTGTTTCTCCATCAGTGTTTCCCCATCAGTGTTTCCCCATCAGTGTTTCCCCATCAGTGTTTACCTATCAGTGATTCCCCATCAGTGTTTACCCATCAGTGTTTCCCCATCAGTGTTTCCCCATCAGTGTTTCTCCATCAGTGTTTCCCCATCAGTGTTTCCCCATCAGTGTTTCTCCATCAGTGTTTCCCCATCAGTGTTTCTCCATCAGTGTTTCCCCATCAGTGTTTCCCCATCAGTGTTTCTCCATCAGTGTTTCCCCATCAGTGTTTCCCCATCAGTGTTTCTCCATCAGGGTTCCCATCAGTGTTTCCCCATCAGTTTCCCCATCAGTTTCCCCATCAGTGTTTCCCCATCAGTGTTTCTCCATCAGTGTTTCCCCATCAGTGTTTCTCCATCAGTGTTTCCCCATCAGTGTTTCCCCATCAGTGTTTCCCCATCAGTGTTTACCCATCAGTGTTTCCCCATCAGTGTTTCCCCATCAGTGTTTACCCATCAGCTATTATTTTGCCCGTACACAAACTGTTGACTTCCTTTTACATTAGTTCAATGCTGACAATTCAAAAAAATTACAGATGATCATTTATGGCGTTAATATCGCTTTTTACTGTTTTGTTTTGCTCTTGAAAATGCTTTGTTATATAAACTGTAAATTTCTCATTTAACTCGTCAATCGAGAATGTTCGTTTCACAAAGTGCATTTTTTGTTACTTGCCCAGCATGTATTCCTTGTGAGTGACCTCAAATATTTTTATTATTTGTTTTTATTTTGTAAACTCAGAACTACTTTTTTACATTTGCAATGAAATCAGTCAATTTCCCGACATCCAAGTCTCGTGAAATATCATCATGAACATGTTTCTTTCATCTCGTATTCACACCTTTTCCCATTCACTCGATGAGAAAAACACGATATTTCACGAGGCACATCCTCTATTTATTCATCCTCCTTCCCTCCTTTCCCCCAATCTCACCAGTGTGTACAGTTGCCGACGTACATGCCAAAAAAACTATGATTGTTGGGTTGGGATCCTGGTGTTCTCTCTGATTATGTTCCTTAGTTTGTCAGCATCATTCTTGTGTTCATGGGTTTCATGCCGTGATATAACTGGAATACTGTTCAAAGTGGCATTAAACCCAACTCATTTCACTTTATCTCGCTCATTTGGTACTTGGTGATAATGTGGCTGTTAAATGTGTTTTGTAATATAGTGAAACATTGCTCTCAGTCACTCCATCTTATTAAAATGAACTGTTGCATGAAGCAATAGAATTAAAATTTACTTTCAATGTTATAAGTAATAACTATACTGATAGAAAGACGCAAGGGAATTCCTGATATATGAAATATGGTATGGTTATGCTTTAACTGTTTTGGAAATGTTGCATATGCATATTTATATTTCTTTTTCTTAAACACAGAAGTAAACATTTCTCTGAATATTGTTATGAATTCCCTTTACAATATTTCTGTTAGTATATTATTGTAAGGGAACTGAATCACCCTGTGTTAGCCTATCCCATTCACCTGTAATGGTGTCAGCATTTCACAGATGAATGGGATAGTTTCCAGGCCAGGCCGCGTGGAGGCCCAGGGTATCTGGCCCAAAAAAAAACAGTTTAAAAAAAAACAATACCTTAGTCAAGTCTTACTGTTTCTTCTATAGATCATTAATGTGCCATATTGATTACAACAGCAACATATACCCCAAAAGTATTAGTGTGAAATTTTCTTCACTGTCATGTTATCCTGACTTTCTGGCATCTGTTGTGGGTAGAAGGCTTCTGTGAGGGTATTGGTTGTCATGTTATCCTGACTTAGTTGAGGGCTGCTGTGAGGGTCTTGGTTGTCATGTTATCCTGACTTTCTGGCATCTGTTCTAGGTTTAGGGCTGCTGTGAGGGTCTCGGTTGTCATGTTATCCTGACTTTCTGGCATCTGTTGTGGGTAGAGGGCTTCTGTGAGGGTCTTGGTTGTCATGTTATCCTGACTGGGTTGAGGGCTTCTGTGAGGGTCTTGGTTGTCATGTTATCCTGACTTTCTGGCATCTGTTGTGGGTAGAGGGCTTCTGTGAGGGTCTTGGTTGTCATGTTATCCTGACTTTCTGGCATCTGTTGTGGGTAGAGGGCTTCTGTGAGGGTCTTGATTGTCATGTTATCCTGACTGGGTTTAGGGCTGCTGTGAGGGTCTCGGTTGTCATGTTATCCTGACTGGGTAGAGGGCTTCTGTGAGGGTTTTGATTGTCATGTTATCCTGACTTGTGGCATCTGTTCTAGATTTAGGGCTTCTGTGAGGGTTTTGATTGTCATGTTATCCTGACTTGTGGCATCTGTTCTAGGTTTAGGGCTGCTGTGAGGGTTTTGATTGTCATGTTATCCTGACTTGTGGCATCTGTTCTAGGTTTAGGGCTTCTGTGAGGGTTTTGATTGTCATGTTATCCTGACTTGTGGCATCTGTTCTAGGTTTAGGGCTGCTGTGAGGGTCTTGGTTGTCATGTTATCCTGACTTGTGGCATCTGTTCTAGGTTAGGGCTTCTGTGAGGGTCTTGATTGTCATGTTATCCTGACTTGTGGCATCTGTTCTAGGTTTAGGGCTGCTGTGAGGGTCTCGGTTGTCATGTTATCCTGACTGGTTTGAGGGCTTCTGTGAGGGTCTTGATTGTCATGTTATCCTGACTGGGTTTAGGGCTTCTGTGAGGGTTTTGATTGTCATGTTATCCTGACTTGTGGCATCTGTTCTAGGTTTAGGGCTTCTGTGAGGGTTTTGATTGTCATGTTATCCTGACTTGTGGCATCTGTTCTAGGTTTAGGGCTGCTGTGAGGGTCTTGATTGTCATGTTATCCTGACTTTCTGGCATCTGTTCTAGATTTAGGGCTTCTGTGAGGGTCTTGGTTGTCATGTTATCCTGACTTAGTTGAGGGCTTCTGTGAGGGTCTTGGTTGTCATGTTATCCTGACTGGGTTAAGGGCTTCTGTGAGGGTCTTGGTTGTCATGTTATCCTGACTTTCTGGCATCTGTTCTAGATTTAGGGCTTCTGTGAGGGTCTTGGTTGTCATGTTATCCTGACTTAGTTGAGGGCTTCTGTGAGGGTCTTGGTTGTCATGTTATCCTGACTGGGTTGAGGGCTTCTGTAAGGGTCTTGATTGTCATGTTATCCTGACTGGGTTGAGGGGTGCTGTGAGGGTCTTGGTTGTCATGTTATCCTGACTGGGTTGAGGGCTGCTGTGAAGGTCTTGGTTGTCATGTTATCCTGACTTTCTGGCATCTGTTCTGGGCTGAGGGCTGCTGTGAGGGTCTTGGTTGTCATATTATCCTGACTTTCTGGCATCTGTTCAGGGTTGAGGGCTGCTGTGAGGGTCTTGGTTGTCATGTTAACCTGACTTTCTGGCATCTGTTCTGGGCTGAGGGCTGCTGTGAGGGTCTTGGTTGTCATATTATCCTGACTTTCTGGCATCTGTTCAGGGTTGAGGGCTGCTGTGAGGGTTTTGGTTGTCATGTTAACCTGACTGGGCCGAGGGCTGCTGTGAGGGTATTGATTGTCATGTTATCCTGACTTAGTTGAGAGCTTCTGTGAGGGTCTTGGTTGTCATGTTATCCTGACTTTCTGGCATCTGTTCTAGGTTTAGGGCTGCTGTGAGGGTCTTGGTTGTCATGTCATCCTGACTCTCTGGCATCTGTTCTAGGTTTAGGGCTTCTGTGAGGGTCTTGGATGTCATGTTATCCTGAATTTCTGGCATCTGTTCTGGGTTGAGGGCTTGTGAGGGTCTTGGATGTCATGTTATCCTGACTTTTTGGCATCTGTTCTGGGTTGAGGGCTTCTGTGAGGGTCTTGGTTGTCATGTTATCCTGACTGGGTTGAGGGCTTCTGTGAGGGTCTTGATTGTCATGTTATCCTGACTGGGTTGAGGGCTTCTGTGAGGGTCTTGGTTGTCATGTTATCCTGACTTTGTGGCAGCTGTTCTAGGTTTAGGGCTGCTGTGAGGGTCTCGGTTGTCATGTTATACTGACTGGGTTGAGGGCTTCTGTGAGGGTCTTGATTGTCATGTTATCCTGACTTTCTGGCATCTGTACTGGGTTGAAGGCTTCTGTGAGGGTTTTGGTGTCATGTTATCCTGACTGGGTTGAGGGCTGCTGTGAGGGTCTTGGTTGTCATGTTATCCTGACTTTCTGGCATTTGTTCTAGGTTTAGGGCTTCTCTGAGGATCTTGGTTGTCATGTTATCCTGACTGGGTTGAGGGCTGCTGTGAGGGTCTTGATTGTCATGGTATCCTGACTTTCTGGCATCTGTTCTAGATTTAGGGCTTCTGTGAGGGTCTTGGTTGTCATGTTATCCTGACTGGGGTTAGGGCTGATTTGAGGGTCTTGATTGTCATGTTATCCTGACTTTCTGGCATCTGTTCTGGGTAGAGGGCTTCTGTGAGGTTCTCGGTTGTCATGTTATCCTGACTGGGTTGAGGGCTTCTGTTAGGGTCTTGATTGTCATGTTATCCTGACTTTCTGGCATCTGTTCTAGGTTTAGGGCTGCTGTGAGGGTCTTGGTTGTCATGTTATCCTGACTTTCTGGCATCTGTTCTGAGTTGAGGGCTGCTGTGAGGGTCTTGGTTGTCATGTTATCCTGACTTTCTGGCATCTGTTCTGGGTTGAGGGCTGCTGTGAGTGTTTTAGTTGTCATGTTATCCTGACTGGGTTGAGGGCTGCTGTGAGGGTCTTGGTTGTCATGTTATCCTGACTTAGTTGAGGGCTGCTGTGAAGGTCTTGGTTGTCATGTTATCCTGACTTTCTGGCATCTGTTCTAGGTTGAGTGTTGTGGAGAGTTATGGTTCATTTCAGCTTCTTTTCTTGACTTTGTTAAATATGTTTGTTTAGAAATATGGTACTTTTGAATTTATAACTTGCATAATGTCTATGCCATTTTGTTCCAAATGTTGTATATGGTCATCTGTTAATATTAGGGTTGGATCAATTACTAGCCTACTAAGTGTGAAATGTTGATTATTTGTCAGAATGCACTGAGCCCTGCAGTGGTAATGACAATTTGTCCAAAATGCCTGTTGCTTATTTGCCCTATGGCTGAAAAAGTGTCTTAATTCCAGATGCCTCACTACCATGTCAAATGGTGCCCTCGGTGTATGAATGAATTTAGTTTTGCATCCTTGGCATTTCTTTATGCGACCATTTAAAGCGATCAACTGGAAGTTGTTCTCTGTGTGCCCACCAAACCTAGTTTGATATCTGTGAGGATTATTCATTGATGATTTGTTTGGTTGTGTGCCTTTTCTCAGAACTACACTTGAAGTTGGTGATCTATTGCCCACATAGTCTTCATCTACCTGGCACACTTTGCACACAAAGGTTTCCTTTTGCAGTGTTCTAAATGATGCATTGCTGCCAGAGCATTCAAGGTGATACCAATACCTGCAGCTCTCACACTGCACCTGCAACATGTGCAATACAAAATTGTTATTTCTATTGTTTGTTATTTCATTTTAGTTGGGTTTTTTCCTCACAGTCAAACATATCATTATTCATGCTTATATTTCGTTGTGCTACTTTATAAGCTTGCTAAAACATGTTCACTTATGTGATTCATTTAATTATTATTTCCTGTAGGGCTGGGACGAGTCCAAATTTACTACCCGGGTACCCCCCCCCCCGCCCCTATTATCCGACCCTACCCGGCCGCCCGCTGTAGGCCTCAAGAGATTGGTACAAAATGTCCGATTGGGAAACATTTGACCGTACACCTGTCACCATGCATTTAGATACACGTATAAACTGATCTGGTCATGCATACACTGAAGTTGACTGAAGTTTTATCTTTATGCAAACATATAAAGCCAGAAGGTATGTTTACATATATAGTCAGAAAGAAATGTGACTATTTGTCACTTATAGTGTAACCATAGAGTTCTAGATAAGTTTTGCCATTAAACGATATATATATATAGTTATGTGACTAAACTCGGGTCCGGGTAGTCCCGTGGGTACCCGGGTCCTACTCAGTACCCAGCCGACCCGAGTACCCGAGTTACCCGTCCCAGCCCTAATTTCCTGAGTACTTTGTGTTGTAACTGGTCAAGAATTCTTACCCAATCTTGTTCCCTCTGTTTGGTTCCTTGTGTTGTCTTGACACATTTGCCAGTGGTATCCACTTGTGTATGCATTGAGCAGCCTCTACAGATGTCAGCCATTGCTGGTAAATCTGAAACAGTACATTCTCATGTTCCAATTTCTTTAGAAATATTCATTGCATTTAATTACTTTTCTTAATTTTTTCAATGGTGTAACTCCATGTCAGTGGTGTCATTAACTCACTCTGTATTCTTAAGTGATAATGCTTATCAACCAGTTAACATTTATAGAGAGTATTATATGAGCATGTGTATCATACTGATATTTAATGTGTATTCCATCATTTCCGTCAGTTGTAGTGTAATGTCATTCTAACCTTATTTCGTAAGGAAGTAAACAATGATGTCCGAATGATGTAAACCATATTCTGGTGCATGGGAAGTAATATTTGCCCTTGTGCACATGCAAATTTTATGAATTCTGTTATTTCTAACCCTTTGGGTTATAAAGAGTGGTATGTTTCTGTTTGCTCATGATTAGTTTCAGGAGTCTGTACTTACCAGAGTTTTGCAGCAAATATGATGCTATGTGTGTCCTGAATTCATCTGTGTCAAATTGGGTGGACATTTTCTTCCCATCAAGAAGGAAGTCAACAAACTGAAATTTCAAGTTATCAGTAAGGGTAAACTAGCGTTTATCAGTTTGAATATTACTAACAAAAATTATGCATTGCCATTTCTCTATATTGAACAGCTTGAAAAAAGTTAATATCTGTTACTAAGGTCATTTAGCAGTAATTAGCTGTCAAGTATGTGTCCTACCTTCATCACAAATATTCCACAGCTTGTGGAATCTTGTTGCAATTGGTGATTTGCTGTTATTAGCTTCCATCGTTTCTTTAATATTTCCTTGTCGAGGAGGCCCTTTTCACTTCTCACTTGGAGTATTCTCCTCCAAGCTGACAAAATTGCTTCTTTACTTTTATAAGACGTGTCTTCACCCAAAGGATTTAAGTATAAAATCTCATTTCTTTGTGGGAACACCACAAACATGTGCCAGTGCTTTCCTGTGACATATGGAGCAAGGATCATTTCTTTCAGAAGCAGATCCACCTGTTCAAGAAATAAATTCAGTCTTTTAAACATTATTCTTTGCTATGACCATCTTTTTTACTTATATATATATTCAATGTATTGATGAATGAGCAGGAAGATGTGTTCTTTCTGAAGTCAGTTTTGCTAAGTCAGTTATACACTCTTTAAATAGCAAGTCAACTGTAATCCCCCGCAGGTGTAGATAATGTTAGATGTACAGATATAACAGGCGTATATGTCACATGTACATAAGACTTCTACATTAAATCTTGCTTCACATGTCCCTTGGAGGGAGTAGAATGTTTCACTGTTGTTAGAGGAAAGGATTTGTCATGAATTGTGATGCTCATACTTGCTCTGATTTAAGAACCATTACAAACTTTTGACAATGATTGTATTCCTTACATTCCTGAATAATGGTGGTTGTCCATGATTAAGAATAACGTGTGTGGCAACAAGGCAATCCATCAGGTATACATCATCTCGATCTCGACATTTAGCCCCGCAGTATGCATTGAGTACCTTTAAAATTAGAAAGCAATGCATTCAAACTATAATACATGTGTTGCATTCACATAATTTATTACTGGATTGTCTGTTCCAGATGTGATTATTTACGGACCACTGTTATAAACTGAGTGCAGCATTGAAACAAGAAACAACAATTTTTGCTTTCATGCTTTCTGATATTTTGATGTAATTGAATGGTTAATGTTGCATTGAACACTGGTTCAGCTATGTTATCATGGAAATGATGTAATTGCTTTTCCTGTCAGTAAAGCCCAAACTAATATTCTTCCAAGAAAGCCATGTCTTAAGGGTCATGACAGACTAAGCATAATAATTTCGGGGAAGCTGCAACTTGGTATCAGTGACATGAACATCAGAATTACCAAAACAAAAAAGATATCAATAGATGTATCATATGCCAAATAATTAGTGCCTCATCAGATTTGAAAATAATTGGTTATTATGAACGTACCTCATCTGTAACTTCATGCCCTGGTTTCAGTGCTCCAAAGCTTCTTCCCGTCAGTTTATGTCCATCTACTACAGCCATCACAGCATTAGTGTTTGAGTGAAACCTCCATACAGACCCATAATCCAAAGGTATCGGCAGCTGAAACGCAAGTGAACGATAGCTGTCACTTCTGTAATGTTAAAACTTCAAACTCGTTGGTGGAAGAGTAGACTTGGTTTTGGGGACAGGCTTGCTGAGGACTAGGGGGTTATTTCCCACCTACTCAATGTTGCCCACATTCATATGTGGTCGTCCATGGCAACGTAATGAATTCGGTGGTCACGTTCAGTTACTGTGCATTTTTCTCAAATCAATCACTGGGTTGTGAGGTCAACATTAAGTTGTGTACAGGACACCATGATATAGCTAGCTGGATTCAAAGTGTGTATTCAAAACATCAAAAGTCAGTCCAACATTTGATTACATCTACCGGTACATATTCTGTTGTATTCGTAGCTCATTGACTTACTGGTTCACTCTGTCTCCTGTTGATCTGAAGTGTCCCCTCCCCTTGATTCTGTAATACAGGAATAGTATGTTTACAATAAGTTAATATTGAAACTTAATGAGAGCAACTGTACAAACAAGCAGGGTATTATGGTACAGATACGGCACATACGTTTTTGGTTGTGTGGTCATCTGTTGTTTGCTTTACAACTGTTTCTTTCCTCTTTCTCCCCACAAATTTTAACTCTGGCAAGTCATCAGAAACATCATCCTGCTCCTGCAATTGGTAACATAACAGGAATTTTCAGTATGCTACTTTTCCTCACAAAGTCCCAAACAAAACTCTTCATTTGGTTCCAATTAATACATTTTCAGTGACAGAATTTCTTCTATAAAGAATTTTATAGACATTCCAAATATGTGCACATAACATACCTCTGTGGATGTGTTCTGCTCTGATTCTGTCAGCAGGTCTATTACAGTCAGTTTCTTCCCTTCCTCAAATGTTGCTGTTGAAGTTGCCTAGGATCAGAGAATGAAGGTTTCATCTTTACTTTCATGGTATTACAGAGATTTATGACTTGATAGATACTTGTCAGTATTAAAAAGAGATGTAAGTAAATGTTTCGATAATATGTACCTAAAATGTACACAGTGCATGGATTCTACTAATAATACAAGACTGTTTGAAGAAACTTTTAGTATATTTTGTCTTCTCTCTTTATACTCACCATAAAACTTGCCATATCAGGTAGGTCATCTTCTGACTCTCCATGCTCCTGGAAGTGGTCAATTTTATTTAAGTATTCACACCTGTTTGATTGTCATTATTCATTGCAAACTTTAATTTTAATGCCACAGAATGTAGTCCAGCATGTGTATAAAAAGAAGATATCAGTTCTTGCGCCTAAGTTCAAGATGTGTGAACGTTTTTTCTCAAAACACATGCACGTGCACACACACACACGTCATATTTATAGTATTATTTGAAAGTACATGTAATGTTAAAACATCCATTCAGTATGAAACATGCATTGCTTAAACAGATGATTGCACATATGACTAAATGTATGTTTCTCTTTTTTTTAGTTCTGCTTTTCCTTTTCAATAGTTACCTTATTTTCTGTTTTTCTGGTAATATTTGAAAGCGATTTTGCCCTCTCTGCAAGTGAAATTGTGATCAATTACACATGGTTATTTGTTCACTTTATTTCTTCTTTAAAAAATCAATCATTTGTGTTGCAAAATGTATATCCTCCTTATAATCCTGAATGCACATTTAGAAATTTCACTTGTTCATGCACCTGATGAAAGTTTTTTTTGTGTTAATTTATTGATATTGTATTAATCATTGAGTCAATAGATTTAATACAAAACTTACGCATCATGCGTTTCTTCTTGTTGAGCAAATACTTTTTCTGTACTTTTGACGTAAAGAAATTTTTAGCTGCTGTTGGCATCTGCCTGTGTTTCCTCCTTTTCCTAAAACAGTTTCTATTTTGAACAGTTAGCTTTATCTTTTCTAGGGACTGGTTGGCCTCTGTTACTGTTTCCTGGCTGCTGCACCTCATCAGTAGATCCCTCAACTCCAACAACAACCTCACACTCGTTTGTTTCCTTTGGGCATTGCCAGTGTCATTTGCAGGCGCCTTCAATGTTGTGTCACTTTGCTCTGCACCAGTCATGTCAACAGCTGATGGAGAATCTTCTGAAGAGACTTTTGGAAATTTGACATTTATACCTGTTGGCAGAGATTTCCTACAGTCTTTGCTGACATGGAACATTTGGATGTCTCTGTATTGCTTGGGAAGGGCATCCCAAGGTAGTGTATTGTGATATAATGTTGCCAGAATATGCTTACATGGAAAGAAATATCTTCTAAAGTCTTGGCAAGAACAAAGATCTTTGTTTTCCCTATTTAAAACAACATTGTAATTGTTCACTTGGTAAGCAGATTCGCCTTTATGTATAGACTGAATCTGTGTCACCTCATTTAATCGCTTTCTGCAGTGGTCAAAGCATGTCAACCCTCTCCCATTCAAGAACCCTGGTACAGAACTCTTCAATGTCATCTTCATTCTGTCATTCTTTTCATAGTAACTGAAATGAAATTGTTTATTTGTAGAATATTTCTCAAGACTGTGTATGTGATAATTAGCAGTTAACCTGTTTTTAGATTTAACTTAATTGTGTCATTTGTGCATGCAGTAATTTTGTTTTTGTATTTATTAATAATCTAAGTTTAAGTGCATGTAGCCCATGCTTATGTTTTGTTGAATATATTTAGTTTATACACATCCATCCACACTGCCTTACCTCAGGTAACAATATATGGGTTGTTCTTTGTTGTTGTCATTTTGCCTATATCCCAATATGCTTGCACTCTTATCAAAACAAATTTGCACTTCTATGAGGATGTAATATGCATCGATGAGTGTGAAATACCTTACTTAAAATGGACTATCCCATGGTTAGACATTGATAAAGAACAAATATTAATATAGTGTGACTCATAAAAAATATGTTGATTCATCCATTACTGTTTTTACAATATTTAGCTGGTTTTTAATGTAAAATTAGATCCATCAACAATGTCCTGGCTAATACAAGAAGTGCATTTCGGATCAAATAAAGGTGTATTACTCCATCTCCCACAATCGATTTGTAAACAAAGACAAGATGTTCTAAACAATAGCAATTATGTGTATATCATGTACACATGTTTTGTTTAAGTATGTAAATATGTTTCCAGTGTAGTGTTATCATCTATGACTTTATGAAATCTTGCCTTACCAGAAATTGCCCTATCAGAATTCCTTTTTTGAATAACATGATCTTCAAGGTGTGGTCTGGTTACCAATTTAATCCAATCAACTGATGTAGATAACATCCAAATTTTGAGGTTACTAGCTATACTGTATCAACATTAGCCACTTCTAATGTATATTGGTAAAGTAAAGTTATTCTACAAAGACTTCTGTTATAAACAAAATGTGACAATTTTCTTGTGATACCCAGACGTTTTCCTCCTATTTACTGTAAACTCCATATCTTATATACATTGGAGTGAATGGTTTAATGATAAATAAATGATAAATTCAGATTTTCCACTATAATAGGCTATTCGTAACCGCATAACTCTCATCCATATGGGAATATTTTTGTATTAATTATGATACCGAGATCCTTGTATGCATTTACATTTTCTAAACATTCATAATATTTCTTTTTGCCTCAAAAAATAAGTATTAACACTTGGCCACAATTATCTTCAGTTTCTAAACGTTACAGCGAATCCAGCAAGTAATTTCTGTAGGTCTTTCTTGTAGAGTGTTAGTAATATGCTTACATCAGCATATATCAATCCACAACGAACAAATAGTGTAGGCATACTGGGATGTAGGCATACTGGGAACAAACCTGATATCTAAAACCTACTGTTATCTGTTATCAAATTAACTTAAGTAGTAGATCTAGATTACCTCTGTTGTCTGCTCTTGTGGTGTTTCATTAAAAGTTGAATCAGCCCTGTTATGCTCATGTCTGCAGTATGTTTCTGCTCATTCTTAAACAGAGAATGGAGCCTCTCCACTCCATTAGTAGTTGTCAGTCCCACATGCTGGTTGAAAGGTCTGAAGGCCATAGCCCATGGCTGGAATTGTAATATTAGCGTTAAATATCACACACATTCACAGTTTATATTTATTTTATCTATTTGTGTACAAAAGAATTCAACTTTTATTGTACAAGATGTTAATAAAACAAATAATAACATTGCAGCCTTTCTGTTGACTGTAACATTTGATTATCAGAACAAAATTAAGAATCCTGGCACAGTCTCTCAGATGTTTTCTAGGAACTGATTTAAATATGATGCATCAAATATGCATCATGAAAATAAAGACCAGGAGTATTCTGGATTAAAATTGGATCATATATGCATTTCACTTCATGGAAATTCAGTGGCCAACAAGTTGTGGGACTTTCTTCACATAACAAATTGCATACACTTTGTATCATTTTACCCACGTTTCTTATAGTGCATTCACCTTACATATACCTTAGGTGAGCACAGCCAGAAGTGGTCCATATAGTTGATGAAATTCATGTAGTGCCCCCACTGAGTTCTCAGTTCCTGTACTTTAGTCCCATAGCCTGACTGATCCAGGCAGGACATAATGTCGGACAAACTGAATAACAGGCATGAAAACATACTGAAATTCTCAATTGAATATTCATATAAGTAAATTTGCAAACATTTTAGAAAGTAAGTAATTTCAATATGTTTGAAAGGAAACAGGAATTTGTACCTAAAGACAAATAATATATACTGTTTAAGAAGTTCTAAATATCATAATATAATGTAATTTATAACATTAAAGAACTTGCAACACAGAGGAGATAATGGGATACACTGTGATTTAAATTATGGACATTTTGTGAAATTATTTATAGTCGCCTCAGTCTTGGCTGCAGCGATCTTAACATATATAAGTATAATAGACATATTTTGGATACTGAAATTAATTTCTGTTGATATCATACCGAAGATTCTTTACGTTTCTTTTTCATGTGTACAAATGACTTTAATCTTCCAAATGAAATGTATTTTCCCAAACAGTGCTATATAATAATTTGAATTTGAGTAAGGAATATTAAACCCAAATGTTATATTCTATTTAAAACATCATATTAAAAACTGACAGATTTTCAATGAAGTACTAGTAAATGAATCAACTGTACATATATTTATCATATGTACACGTCTAGCTTGGCAGGTATAATTAATTTATTACATTGAACCTTATGTGATATCATAATTGCTTCTTGTATTATGCGTCATGGAGCAGTATTAACAAAAGCAATTCGCTTGTTTACCATTATTTTTTCATATGTTTGTGAAAATAAAAACATTTAAATAAAAAAATATGCTTGTTTTTTATGTTTGTAACATAAATTCATCTCAGTAGTAATGAAACATTCAGGGTATATGTTGTATTGTTATGATAGTGTGTTTTCAAACTATTGTTAATACTTCTAAAGTTCTGTTGACTCATTACACAGAAAGTAGCACAGGAACATACTCTGACAATATTGCTTCCCGATCTGTCCTTGATGGTATCCTTTGCAGCCATCTTTTCCAGGCTTGCTTTACATGGAAATGGCAGATGTAAAAACTGCTTTCTGCAAACAGAAATCTTCATCGTGTGTACTTTCTAAATTTATTTCTCTATCATGAAATTTGATCCTCTTTTGTTTGAAAGGCATATCTGAGAAGTTGACAGATGACAAATTAGACCAAATTTAATGAATAACAACTTTTTTATTGTAAAGCTATTAAAGCATAACTAAGAAGTTCTTATCTATAAATTTTGTCTACTTTGTCATCTTTGTTCCATTTGTAAATGCTGCAACAACAACATGTACTTTATCACAATAACTTACATAAGTGAATACATTCTTTAACAATAAGCATTTGCTAGTATTTCATAAGTGGTTGAAATCTGGTATAAGAAATAGTGTCAGTGCTACCAGTAAAAGCCACGATTAAAGAAATGTAAAAGCTTCAAAATTTCAAATAGGTAGTGTGTGCGTGTGCATGCATGAGTGATGATGTAGGTGGACAATTTGACACAATAACTACATGTACCTGGAAAAATCTTTTGGATGACATTTTTTTCCCTCTGGTCATCATCAATTATAAATATTTCTGGCTTCCACTCCTTATGTAAGGAAGCAAACTTCTCCATGCCCTCCTGTAGACTATCAGTGGTCTGGTCTTCTGTTATGATGAAACCTACTGGAACATACACTGAATCTGTCCGTACTGCCAGTTGATACAGAGGTAGGTTGTACTTGTTAGTGTTGTATGTCGCATCCAGTAAAACAGCACTGCCAAACTTTTCAAGCATAGTCCTTTGCCAGTGTGTTGACATGACAAGTAAGAAGGTGTCACCTGAGGTGTCGCTGAAATGGCAAGATATCTTTATACACAAATATCTTTACAAATATCAATTTAACAAAGGCTGCATGGTATTGGTTTTATTAAGGCACATTGGAACATTGATGCATGTCATTGTATCCCAATTGAGTGAATCAATGCTCATGATGTCAGTCACTTGATTTTCTGGTCTAGATTTTACAGGTTGAAACAACAAATATTTAGATATACAAACAAACTTCGCTGTACCAAACACAGTTAAGAAAGATATATGCTTGCAGCACTATAATAGTTCTAAAAATGTACTAAAATTCTTCATTTGTGTAGAAGTACTCCTTGCATTGTAGCCAGAGGTGAATCAGGTCGTTTTTCATTGCAAGTCAGTCAGTATATGAAATAATTGGTCCGGGTTATAGTAGCAGGAAGATGATATTATTCTCAATAGCTCATTATCAAGATGAATTTGCTGAAAGTGAATCTAGATGCTTGGCATTACAAGTAAAAACGAATGTATGAATCAAGATGTGTACTGTTAAATCTTTTTAAATATATTCAAGTGAAAGGTGCATCTATCCACGTTAGCATATATGGGTCACATGTAACATCACTTAAAATGTTTTGAATGTCTTCAGTTTTAACATAACGATTATTGGGGGGTACGAATGGCCCAGTCGCTAAGGCGTCGCAGTTCGCTGTGCAGAGTTACATCCCTTGGACACGCCAGAAACCTATGATTGTGGGTTCGAATCCCGGTTGTCCGATTATGTTTCTAGGTTCGTCAGCACCATACCCGTGCTTGAGGGTTTCACCGAAGTGGTAAACGTCTGAGACCTGCATCACTTCGCGATTTCCTCCCACATTAAGCTGACAAGCCTCGATATAACTGGAATACTGTTAAAAGAGGCGTTAAACCAAACTCACTCACTCACTCACTCATAACGCTTATTCCATTCATGGAGAATAATTCTTAAAAAGAACACGTTGTCTCAATGAAAGATCGGTGTACTGTTAGCTTGTCTGCACTGTTATAAAGATAAAATGACTACACATCCATGGATGTATCATTCACAACAGACGTGGAGCAGGGCTAATCAGCACCTTGCGGCTGTTTGTTTATAGTAAGAGGCTTGTGCCATGGGGAGTGGACATCGGCATGTCTGATGACCATGAGCTCGTGACTGCTGATAAGATGCTGACAGTTTTATCACTAAACACAATTCTTTTGCTCAAAATTCCTAGTGAGCTAGCACTATAAATCAGCATCAGTCCAGACGAGTACAAGCTGCCACACACACGTGCATGCACGTCGCTATATAAGTGCAATAATCACCTCGCCTCACCACAATTGCACCATATGAATGACTACACGAGTGTGTGGTGAATATTGTTTATCGCTGACATCACAAGTTCTATGTAATATACACAGTTTTAATTCTTATTTGTTTAAAATGCAGAACAGCACACTCATTTGTGTGTATACAAACGGGTTCAGCGCCAACTTGTCACATCCAAAGGCTTTTTTGCAGCACCAATTTTATAGATTATTATGGAGTAGAAGCGAATAGACACAATAGCTTCACAATTATGTTTTCTGGGCTTAGGGGTATATATTAACTGCTTATGAATTAAGTTTTTTTACCTTACATTGTATTCATTATTTTCAAACGAATACTAGTATTTCCTTACTTTCTTGGTCGAAACCAGCAGCTGTCTAAACGTGAGTCTGTCTCATCTCTTTTCAGTTTTTCCAGTAAGTCTGAGATGACTCCTTGTTCCTCTTCGGAATTTCTGAAATTCAGTATGATTTTAAATAGAAACATTTGTTGAGCGAATTTGAAATAAAAACGTGCATGTTTGTTGAATCGTCATCCATTTAGTAGAGTAGAGTTTATGCGATCATTTATATCGTAGAATTGGAAAAATTGGGTTTAATTATAAAACACTACAGTGAGATGAACAAATGGTACTCCTGTTGGTCATTTTCTACAACTGTCTCAAATATACTGTTAAAATCAAATATTTGAAAACAATTCTCTTTGAATTGAAAACACATTGGGTAAATCGTCAGTCAACTTATCATATACCAGTCTAGAAACCTGTGCCGTGTTATTTACTCATATGTATACGCAGCAGTTAACGACATCACCTGTTGTTTCGTACAGCTGTGTGAATGTGGTTGTATAAATCCTTCTTGGTTGGACTGAACTGCCGATTCGTTGAATTTGGTTCTGATGGCATAAACTCCTTCATGAATTCCTCTACCCTCGCTCCAACTTCTCTGGGCCGCCTTTCACCAGTTTCCACGACTTCATGTATTTTGTTAATCACAATGTTGTCAACCCTGTTTGTGCCACCGCTCTCCTGCAAATTATTATTTTCTATAATAAACGTCGATCAAAACCTCACCTCCAAGAATGAAGAGTTGTAGGGGGAGGCCCACACTACCTGGAACCGCCCATAGTTTTCAGGCCCATACCTACATAAATACTGCGGACTGCTGAACGTTGATATAAATTAATCATTGCAATAAATGTAAGTTACTTTTAAGGACATTAACAAACTTAAATGTACATCGATCGCTCATCGCAACAGAAATATTTCATGTTTGATAGGCATTTCGTAGAAGTTGACGGGTGAAAAAGTAGACAAAAATGTTCTATGGATAACAACCTCTTTATAATACTGTAATAACGACGTTCCGGTATAGATTCTTATACCGTTGTCAAGCAAGACAGACTAATGAACGTAACAACAATTATAATACTTGAGAGGGATTAACATGAGGAGATTGACATGTACTGTTACGAGAGAAAAATATTATATTCAGGTGTCT